GAAACTACTACTTAGGGTTTCGGGTTTAGGGGGGGTTACTTTGCCGATAGAGTCCTCTGACACCAAAGGAGAGCGGACCAGTGCTTGGACGCAGCCCAAATGACCTGCTGCATTGCAATGCAGACCCCAGCCGCCCGTCATAGGCAAGCCAAGCGTCTGTTTGTGATGATATCGGGTTCAGGGTTTAGGGTCTTCACATAGCCTATGCCTGGACCCCGGACGTCCTACCTTTTTGGGGATATACCCTATAATAATTTTGGAGGACAAAACCTCAAAAAGGAAGGACATCCAGCGTCCAGGTGAATTATATACTAGCGTAGTTTCCATGTTCTTTTCCATTATCCCCATATACCCCCATACATCCCCAATATTATCCCTTTCTACTATATACCCCCAATATAATGGGGTTGATAACTCAGATGCAAAGTCCTCAGTCCAACGGCCCTGCGTGAACGCCACCGTCGGTTCACACCCCCGGCCTCGAAAAGCCGCTCCATGAAGCGCCGTGAAGCCATCCTGGCCCAACTCCAATGGGTTTTTTTCCCTAAATTCGGGGTACCCTTTTCAAGGGGTTCCCATAAGAAGGACTAAGGTATTCGGGGGTTTATATTGGGGTCGGCAACTACCAGATCAACCTAACAAGGCTCAGGAAATGCATGAAAGCAATGCCGGCTGGGCTGGCAGCTGGAAAGTGCGCTCTCAACAGACCACAATTTACTGACCCAGCCGTTTGCGATGGGACTTCCCAAACCTCATGCGAAACCAGAGGATGAATGGAAGGCCTTGTCCACTATGCCCATGAACTCCGCAAAGTCTGCTCGATTGATCAGTGCCTTTTGCAGACATGCTTGGCCAGCAGGATTTGGGCAGAGCAACTTCTGGCGAATGAGTAGCACGTGAGGCTCTTGAAGCAGGTTACAAGACTGCAGATTGCTTGATTCAGGCTGGCTCTCTTCGCAGCTGTTACTGTACCCCTATGGCATCTTGGCTTCACGAAAGTATCTTCCCATGCTGAGGGCATGTTCTACCCTCACGTGCTCGACTGGAGGGCGGCTATGAGGGGGAGGGGCCACACCAGGCCAGGGAGGAGAGAAAGCCTGGTCACAATGCAGACAGCTGAGTAGCGTTTTTTTGGTGGTTAAACCCAGTAAGATACCAGTAGTATTCCTTATAAAAGATACTATACCCCAAAAGGAGGATAGAATCTTACTCTATAATGGGTACCCTAGTATTCACGGACGTCAGTCGGTCATCCAAATCAGGCGCTGAGCACTTTGGCTCCTCAAATAACGAATAGTCTAGGATAATTATAGTCGGGCAATAATGCAAGCCAGGTCGTCAACAATTCTTTGACAGGACTGAAGTTTGTCAAGTAATGCACTATGCTCATGAAGAGATGCTTGGTGGCATGGTCGGTGAATTTTGTCCGGAGATTGGACAAAATTCAGAAGGACAGAGCATGAAGAGCAGATAGGAATGTCCTCCGACCAGCACACTTCTGGAAGATGGGGAAGATTAGTCGAATCGAAGGCTTCCAAATGTCTTCCAATGGAGCGAAGAACCGACAGAAAAAATTTGTGCAAGCACACAAATTGTCTGTTGGTGGACTTTGGTGGAGATACATGTGCTTTAATGTCAGCGGCGGTTAACTGCATCCAAAATGAGATGGGCTTTGCAGTGACAGATCTGACTGTCGTGCTGTTGGTCAGCTTAAGGGCAGACTTCTCCCATCTTAGAAGTTTGGATTTTTGTCTGCGTCTTCCAACCCACAGAGGGCTGATAAAGTCAGTTCTGAGGGGAGGATTTTCAGGTTCAGCGAACAGAGAAAGAAATTGTGCAACCTCGAGGAGATGATGTTTGTAATGGGTACCCTAGTATCCCTAAATAAAATACTACTCAGCTGCCCTGGCACCTGCACCACGGCCTCCAAGCCGCTCGCCGCCGCCAGGTGAAGGGCCTCCAGTCTGTGACATTACTATTACTGTTACTTCTATGATTACTATTATTACAGATTATTACTCTCATGACTACTGTTACGATTGTTAGTATTACCATTGCTTTACCATTGTTTCGGATGTTACCATTATTACTCATACCCAGTCTCTCCGGGCTCTACTGCTTTGCACTCGTGTCTTGCTGGCCTTTGGTTAGCTCGGAATGAAGGAACGGATCCTTATAGTAGTCCCTATATAACCCAGTATAGTGATTTCTATCTTCTTTTCCATTCCTGCCCTAAACCCTACACCCTATAGTAGTTTCAGTCTGGGCCCCTGGCGGTGCTGCCGTCTCTCTCTCGGACCTTTGGAACCGAGAGATCGAAATCTCCACATGCCAGTAGGGCCTGGCGAAGAGGGTAGTGCTTCCACTTGGGTCAGGTTGGTCTGGCCTTGGGTTAGCTGGGAATGAAGGAATGGAAAAGAAAATAGAAACTACTATAGGGTTTAGGGTTTGAGGTTTAGGGTAGGAATGGACAAGACAATGGCAACTTCTATCTATCTCTGTCTATATATATATATATTTATATAGAGCGACTAGTACAAGGATCCATTCGTTCATTCCTAGCTGACCAGAGGCCAGTAGAAGAGTCTAAACTCCTAGTATCCCCTTTCACAACACCTATAATAATGCCCTATACAATCCCCTATGTAAGCCCCTTGAAGGAGCTTAGACCCTTCACCCTAAACCCTAGATACTTCCCTATAAACCCCGTTTAAGAGTGTAGTCGTATCATGATTCAATGACACACTTTCCATTATCTTTCCATTATCCCTATATAACTCCAAATATATACCCTGTCATACTCTCTAAGCTCTAACCCCTAAACCGCTTTACTGCAGTTCTAATAACATCATGATACTGTTTACTTAAGGGGGACTATAACCCTAAACCCTTGATAGTAGTTTCCATTTTCTTTTCCATTATCCCAGTGTAACCCCTACATAAGTGTTGGGCTTCGTAAAGCAGGCCCAGGTGGCTAGCGCAGCATTCCCCAGCTCTCGGCTACATGCGAAGTGCAGCGCCGTGCCCTCCTGAGTTAGTAAGTAGATAGAATATTCGGTTTAGGGTTTAGGGTTGTGCCCCCCTGAGTTAGTCCCCCTTAAGTAGATAGAAAATGGGGGTTATATAGGGGTTATATTGGGATAATGGAAAAGAAAATGGAAACTACTATTTAGGGTTTAGGGTTATTGGCCCCCTTAAGTAGATAGAATATGGGGTATATTATTGGGGGTATATAGGGATAATGGAAAACAAAATGGAAACTACTATATTACAATAGGGTATATTATTGGGGTTAGAGTCCCCCATAAGTAGATAGCATGTAGGGTACATGGGGTGCTTATTCTGATTTTTGTCAATTCCATGTTCTGTCTACTTAAGGAGGACTATACCAGTATCTGTGCCAATGGCATCCACGGGGGTCGATTGGGACAATGTGGGTTGTTCAAGAGGCGCTGACATGTAACAACATGATGTTCCAAATTACAATTACAAGATGACTCTCTCAATGTTTGCTTCAAGCTGCGGCAGGGTCCACTGCATTCAGCTCGAATCGTGGTAGCGGCGACACAACGCAACTGAGGCCTGGATCTGGTTTGCCCAGCTGGGGCTACAAGTTTCCCGAAATCCAAGTAGGCCTGTTCTGAAATTCTAGGCGTAGCCAGGGTAAAGTAGAATGTGTGATGAGAGTACGGAGTACCCAATACCAAATGCAAAGGCATCGCAAGCGGTGTGTCGAGTGAGGGCTTGCGCAAGGCAGAAGCAACTCAAACATTTTCAGGCCTTGCCTCTTTCCAGCGCCTTGCTGAGGTACCAGGCGACATTTCCTGCACTGGCATGTCACACACCAGTACACTGATAAAACAAGGCACTAAAACAGCACCGCAAGCTTTAGATGTAATTCGATGATGATGGCAGCTGAAACCTGATTCACCAATGCATCCAACCATGAAAGCAACGCACCGCAACCAGAGTGACTCAGCCAGTGCACGCTGCGCGCCTCCTGGCGCCTGCTCTGCAAGTTCTGCTTGGAACATCTGCTCCGCTGCCTGGTGGCGCGAAACTGTGCATTCGGTGACATTCGCAGCTGTGCGCAAGCGACTTCAATTCATTGTGATCGCACAAACGTATATTGCCATATATACTGCTATATTTGATAGTGCCGCTTCACATCTGGTTTGCCAGCTTGCCAGCTTCAAGTGCGACGGCAGCCGTGGGAGGAAACAGGAGGCGGTGAGGCGCGATGTCCGTGCCAGGCGGGGAGAATTGCCGGCACGTCGTACAAAATGCAAATCAATACTTGTCACCGTGCCCTGCTCTTGTATGCAGTAGCTGTGAGTCGATTCGTTGTGAAGCAGCATGTTATTGGTTTTGGTGCACGGCGAGCCTGGCGCATGCGTCGGCAAACATCTGCCAACAGTGGAGTCCCTTGTAGCCGTGGCTTGACCTGGTTCAACTGGTTCAACGGCTTGCGAGCCCTAGTTCTACCTTTGTCGGGATGCAGATGATATGTTGCAAGCGTGCATGTCATGCTTGCAAATGCTTCAGGTCCCCCCTGACACGGCCTCCGCAGCATCATCGTGCCTTGAAGCAGGATTTCATCAACATCAGTGCCTAGACAATGCCGAAATCATCCAAAATTGTTTTCTATCCTCCCTATATGAGCAAGATTGCAACATGGGGCCCGTGGTCTTACGAAACACATACTGTTGGATAGTGATTGTTGAAAAGGGGGTCGGAATACAGTGAACTTTTGGCCATACGGAATAATGAAAAGGTACGGAACAAAGCGAACTGTGTGTTTCGTACGGAACAAGGGCAAGGCAGCAACGCAATAGTGGCATGCTCTGAACTGGAAACCTAAAAGTCCTGCCTTTTGAATTCCTCCAGGACCCAACTTTTCCCAAACTTACTAATTGGGGGATCCCTCATTATCTGGTTCGTTAACCGTTTGGGGGACTTTATAATCAGAACCCCGCTTTACATGGGTGTTCTCCTCAACTTCTGGCGCATCCAAAATAACTCTCTGGAATTTCTTCCTCTCAAAGGAACTGGTAATTGATGCGGGTATTCCTCCCTAAACCCTAAACCCTAAATAATACTTTCCATTTCCTTTTCCACTCTCCCACTGCATCCCCCTGCTGCCCTGTGGCACTGCGGATTCCTTCGCCGCTTCTGGGCTTGATTCGCCCTCCAGGACCGTGCTGAAACCAGCTTCCGGACGTGTTGCAGGACCTGTGGTTTAGGGCTTAGGCAAACAAACCTTTTCAAGAGATAAGGGGTTTCCCAAAATGGGTACCCAGTGATAAGGATGATGGTATCTAAACCCTGAATCTACACCCATGTAACCATATGACCTCTATACTCCCCCTCTCTTGGGAAACTAAAAATGATTGTGGGGTGCAGGAGGTGAGGGGTTGAAAGTTGTTTTGGCAACGTGCGTAAGTCAGGCCAGCTGGTTCGACAGCAGCCATGGTTCCAAACTGTGGCTGGGTAATGATCATATAGCCGAAAGTAGGAATAATAGTCATGATATTAATATAGCTACAGAATAATAGGGTATATGTTGGGGTTATATAGCGATAATGGAAAGGAAACTACTATAACATAAGAAGAGGGTGATATGAGCTGTAGTATAAACTCCTCAAAAGAGGGTATATAGGGGATTCCATAGTGGACTATTATAGGGGTTATTATCGGGGATTCCAGGAGTTTAGACTATAGCTCACACAGCCGAAAGCAGGCTACTTCAGCCCGTGTATCTTGCACGCGGGGGCACGTTTGCGCCCTATACCTAAATTCCTAGAGCATCAGTCATGCATCACTCTAATTTGGGAGTTTCACACAGCCTCAAACACACCATCCCTAAAGGTCCTCGGTGATGAGGGGCTGGCAGTTTACCCCTTCCTACCTTGTTCCAGTATAACTAGCCGGCTGGCTGTCGGGGCGTGCCTTCAGCGGGCGTTTCGATGGCCATGCGTGCCAGCGCGGCACTGATCTCCTGCATGTCATCCATCAACCTCCGCCGGTCTTCTGCGTCCAGGCTGGCTTCCAAGCCCGCTGCATCACTAGCGTCCACAGTGTCCGCCATGACCCACAGAATGCAGAAATTTGCTAGAGATGATGTCCTACTTTAGTACAGGGACACATGTCGCCATGCCTGCAGCTTGCCATTAGCCTAGCCCTTGCCTTGCCTGCCCGTCAGTGCCAAAAAAGTTTGCTCCAGAACACGGCGTAGCCAGTAATGAAAGGCATGAAACTAAAACCCTAAACCCAATGCCCTAAACCCTAAAGTGCAGCCTGGCTGACATGCAGTTTGATTTTGCTCCACCCTGCTTTGCAGGTTGCTTCGAGCAAAATGAGCTGCACAGGAAGGAACCTACAGGTTGCGACACTTCCAGGCCTGCCCTGTGCTATTATTGTTTTCATTATTATCATTATTATGATTATTATTTAGTTGTTGTTATTAGTATTACTATCTTATTAACAATATTATTGTTGTTCCTGTCAAAAAACCTGCTATTCTGGTTCTTACTGCACAGGCTGCAAGTCTCAAATGTCTCAGACTGACCCACAGGACGGAGCGCATGAACCAGCACCAGGTGTAACAGACCCAACTCTTGGGTTTAGGGCTTAGGTGCACAATAATGATAATAATAATGGTAATGATAATACTAATAATCCCAGAGGGTCCATATATATATATATATATATGGTAACCCCCCCCCCCCTACGATCCAGCTAGAGTATGTTTCCTACGTAAGAACCATGGTTTTATGCATATGTTCGATGGTCGAGTTTTGGGCTATT